GGATGTCCTCTGTCGGACTCGTGAATTCTTTGCTTGGTACAAATGGTCCAACAATATCTATTTGAACCTCTGAAAATCTTTCATTAGGAATAGGAATAGATGACAGTTGAGATACAGTGTGTCTAAAGATCCTGTTTTTCTGACATTTCAAACAAGATTTCACATAATTTGTAATATCTGCATGCATTTGTGGCCATACGTAACGTTCTGAAATTAAATTATTGGTGCTTTTAATACCTGGATGACAAAGGTCATGTATTTTGTCGAAAATTCTCCTACGTAAAATCTTGGGTATTATAGGTCTAGCTTTCTTATGTTCCAAGGATACGTCACATAGAATAACTCCACCCATGTTGTCTATGGCTATTTCTGCAAGCTTGAGTGAATGGCCAGAGTTTGCTTTTAAACTTTGTATTTCTTTACAGTTTTCTTGCTCTTTAGCTATTTCCGTTAAAGGAATGGCATCTTGTTGTTGATAAATAATATTTACAGTTTTATTTTCTAGAACATTTCCATTTTCTATCACAGATTTATTCTCTACTCCACACGTATTATCAGTTCCGCGGTTACGTTGCTCAGATGGCGTTATGTCAGACATCGCGTCAACGGTTTTACACGCTTCACCGGTTCCTTGCGTCTGCTGTCTGCTTGCGTCGGCTGACGTTACGTGCGTCATTGCGTCGACTGATTTATTCGCTTCACCGGTTTCGTGCGTCTGTGGTTCGGATGACGTTATACGCTTCGCTGCGTCGTTGTCCTTGACGACCGCTGTTTTTGCTTCGCGCGTCTCTATTTCGTCCATTGTATTAGCTTTTTCTGTATTAATTTTATCATTACTTTGGCTATCATTATTTACATAGCGAGAAATAAAATCGGCCACTGGAGTACTTGACCCCGGTATGTGAGAAAACGAGTTTGTCATGCTTGTGATGTAATCCAGTTGACGATTTTCTCTGTCGCTGGGTCTATTTGTCGGATTATTTAGTGCCTGAATTAACGCTTTGATATCGGATAATAATTGAAATTGTCGACCGATTAAAAGATTTTTTAAGTAACAAGCCATTAGTTCTTTGGAGAAAATAGTATAGTTTTTCTCTCGCTTGTATAGAGTTTTTGAAAAGAACCCCAAGGGCTGGTTTATTCCGTCAACATATTGTGTTACGACCCCTGCAATAGCAGACGAACTTGCATCACATATTACCGTTATTGGCACATCAATTCTTGGGTGTGCTATCATGCATGCGTTAACCAAACACTCTTTGATTTTATGAAAGGCAGCATCACATTCTGCTGTCCAAATTGGTTTTTGACGTTTGCGGTTTTTATCTGAGACTAATTGAGTAATCGGATAAATTATCTCAGAATATCTGGCTATATGTTTCCTATAAAAATTGCACATGCCTATGAATTTGCGACATTCTGTAATTGTTTGTGGTACTCGAAATTTTTTAATAACCTCGACTTTGTCTCTGATTGGTTTTATTCCATTTTCATCAAGTTCGTAGCCTAGATAAGAAAGATTTGACTTTCCAAACTCGCATTTTTTTAGGTTTAGTGTTAAACCATAGTGGTTTAGTCGTTTAAATACTTGATCGGTTACTTTCAAGTTTTCCTCTTTTGTTTTAGTGTAAATTAGTAAATCATCAAGATAGACAAAAACATTTTTCAACCCAAACAAAACTTTACTCATGAAGTTAGAGAAGGAACTGGGTGCGGAAGCAATGCCAAATGGCATCATAATGGGAATATACTGAGCATTCGCGACGCTAAATGCACACTTATGTCTATGTAACGGATTAAGTTTGATATTTGAGTAAGCCGATTCAAGGTCGAGTTTAGTAAAGATTGTACATCCGGCGAGTTCCGACGTAAAATCTTCAAGTCTCGGCAATGGGAATCTTGGGATTCTTGTAATCAGATTCAAACGTCTATAATCAAAAGTCAAACGAATTGAATTGTCCTTTTTAGGAACTACGTTCAGCGGGCTACAATACGGGCTAACTCCGCGAATTATATCTCCGTTTTCTAATAATTTATTTATCTCGTCGTCTACTTGCTTCTTATATTTGAACGGAACCGGTCGGTCTTTTGTATAAACTGGAGGTCCAAAAGTTATAATATCGTGTTGATAATTATGATTAATTCCTCGAAATTTTGCATGTTTCCGGATTAAAATTTCTGGATATTTTTGCAATAATAATTGGTATTCCTTATCTATTGTTTCCGGTATTAAGGTTAATATTGGCGCACCACTTAACGTATTATGACACGGAATCGAAAAATCGTCTGCTCTATTAGTTAAACAATTGTTTGCTAAGTCTATTACCAGTTTATTTTTAACAAGAAAGTCTATTCCAAGTATACCATCAAATTCTATGTTTGCTAACACCCAATTATGTGTATATTTCACCTTATCTGCCAAGCAAATTTCAATTTCGGTATTGCCCACTACGGTTAATTTTGTGCCATTTGCCGTAATCAGAGGTTCATATTTTCGGTCACGAATAATATGTGTACCGGGATTATCTTCGGAAAGATTTTTTATGGTTTTAAATTGATGTAACTTTTTGGCATTTAAAATACTATAAGTTGATCCAGTATCAACTAAAAGTCGATTTTTAGAAAGGGAATCATATACAAAAAATAATTTATTGTTGCTTGACAGAGACGGTAAATTATTTTTATTTAAATTTTCACAATTCTTAAATTTATGTACAGCATTTGTTTTACGAGAGGGTAGACCTTCCGGGCTGTTAAAACCAGAAAAGTCACCCTTCGGCTAAAAATTCTTCTTTCTAGGAAAGCTGCAAGGGGCATTACATTTGACTGCGTTTTCTCCAAATTTATTATGGAAATAGCAGAAATTTACATCACAATTCCGTCTCCAGTTATAATTGTTCGAATTGAAAGTATTCCTAGGATAACCTCTAGCAAACTTCCTCGTTTCAAATTGACGCCTATCTTGAGAATTGTACTGTCTCGCTTGATGCTGCGGAGGGGCATTATATCGATGAACCGGGTTAAATTTTGGTTCGAATTTGGGCTGTTTATTGCTTTGATTTGGGTATTCAAATTATCAACATTTTTAGCCAGAGACGTTACCAGATCTGTTAATTGCTCCAGTTTATTTTGTCCAGAATTGTCTTTTTGATAGGAACTTGTAACATGGTTCGAATTATTATCTGAGGAATCATAAATTTGCATCGCGCGAGCCAGCAATTTCTCGCATGAATATTTTGCTATATCTGAGTATAAGACGTTGGCTATGTAAGCTGGTAACAATGCTACAAACACTTTCTTTATTAGATTTTGAACTTCTATACTGTTTCTATGTCCCCCAATAAAGGAATCTTTCAAATATTTAAGAATAATATCTGGCCTTTCATTTTGTAATTGCCCAGAAAATATTTTCTGTAATTTTTCTCGAGAATCCGGTGCAAAAATGTCCAACAAAATTTGTTTCAGTTTTTCATAATTATTATTATGTTCATCGAGCGGCATCCTTGCCCTGACAAGATCCAGTTGTGGAGAATTTAAACACCTTAGTATATAGTTTTTCTTTTGCGAATCGCTGACTATTTGATTTTCAGCGAATTCGTTTTCCGTTAAAAAGATCCAATTTTTCACCGAATTTTCCCAAAGTGGTCTCGTGGGAATTTATGCTTTTCATACAATATTGTTCTAGGTTCAGTTATCTGAGAGATTCTGGAATTTATGCCGTAATTCGGTCCGGAATCTTCTACTCTATCTTTATTGGTCAAAAATGGTTGTTTGTGTCATTAAATTTCTAACCGACGGCAATTGAAAAGTTATTCTCTGTCCAGAATCACCTCCAAATCCTCGCACTGCGTAAGCTCCATATCAACAACAGGTTTTGTTTCCTTTGGGGACGAACTTTGCCAATTACAATTGTCATCTTCACGTTCAATTAAATTTGATTCAGGAATATTCAAATTTTCAAGTCCAAATTCTGTTTCGTCTTCAATATCTCGACGTTTTGGTATTTCAGGCGTAATATGTGTTAATTGATATGGATTTACACCTGATTGTTCTGATTTACGAGCTTTGCTTCGCGTAAACATTTTTTGTAATTTGGACATTTATTTACCCAATAATCAATATACCATACAACCTTATACACACTTAAGTAAAACCAGGTACAAAATTACAACAACAATATTTTATTACTACTATCGATAACAGGTACAAACAGTTGATAAATCACACAGAATAGTTAATAGAATAAAATGACTTACGATTGTTGACGATCCCTAATAATAACGATCACGTCGGGGTCACCAATGTAACTTCTGCTGTCTTTGCTTTCCAATTAAGCGAATTAGATAAGTATCTGACTCCAAAAACAGAATATATAGTAGGTTACGTGTTCAAATTGAGATATCTGTTAATTTCATATAACAGTAAGGATCTGACCAATTTGCCTGTAAAGATTTTTATTTCCACGGATAATATATCACAATAAATTTAATAAATTTACTTACAATAAAACACACTCACAATCGTGAAAACCAAGTCGGTGATGAATCAGCATTGTTGTATAGAACGAATTGAAACAGAAAAATAGCCGTGAAAACCACGATCAAATGTCTATTTAAACGGTAACATCTTTTTCATCTCGCTCGCCAAAAACGGTACCTTTCTTTATTATCCTAAAATCTCTTTTCCCACGGAGCAATTTTTGCTCATATCTAGAATGTTCGGTACCCTTCTTACAATAATTACACTTGTTTATAGGTTACCTGACATGGGAAATGTCCATTTTCTCATACACGAGAAAGATCTAGACTCAATATTTCGAATGATCTAGAAAGATCTCTTCAATATTTCGGTTGTTTATGGGTCACCCGACATGGGAAAATATCCATTTTCTCATACACGAGAAAGACTAGAAAGATCTCTTCAATATTTCGATTACGTCAATTATTATATAGAATTTGACTTCCATTATCCAAATTATTGGTTAATTTGTTACAAATCCAATCAATTTCAAGGTCTAATATTAACTTGAATAGTTTTTCTGAATAAAATGATATTCACAATTTTAAATCACAACGATAAAGAAAAATATTGATAGATTGGAAATCTACTGTTTTGATATAATACGCAGAATGAGTAAATCAGTTTATTTCTCAAACATTGGAGTGATTGTCAATCATAGCAGTGTAAAATAGTTGAAGTTGAAAGCAGTGGCGTGGGATATTTAGTCATTGTCTATAACGGAACATTCAAAGCAATGGAAGCCCATTTCCGAATGTTTTTCCCATCCATTGAATCAACAACTTTCCAGGAGTTTACAGCAGGATCATATTCTTCTATTGTGTTATTGGAATTATTCCTGCAACGGAATAACGACGCAATTAAAGTATTGAATAGCAAACTTGAGAATTGATATATATAGTTATACAATGGTTGAATTTTTACTTACGAATGCACAAATGATGGTAAAGTATTGATATGATACACATTGGGTTGTATTAGTGTTTAATCCAGCGATATCAACAATTGGAAATCACCCAATCCGGGTTGCTATTAATCATTCTAGGCTTATTTAGAGTTTGAATTACTAATACACAGAATAAGTTATTTTCACTTTTGGTCTAAGCAACATGTTGATTAAATAATAGATACGGGCAAGAAATATCGCAGTTTATAAATCAAGTTCCAACTCACCCTCCAACAGCAAATATCTTTCTTTCAACAACACATGTTTTGAAATAATATCTTGAATTGTTTAAACAGGCAACAGTGGTCCATGTTTCAGTAACTGTATCAAAGAATTCCACAATGTTCAAGTAGCCACTGTTGTATCCACCTTGTAAAACAATCACAACAATGAAATTATATGAAAGTTTTATATCGATCAGCCGATTTGCAATATTTTTGTTTGACACAAGTCAACTAATGAGCTTATGCCGACATGACTAAAAATATTGTGAGCAAATATTTTCTGAAAGTCAATCCAGAGAGATTTTGGAATTTTGAGAAACTCATATTACATAAAGCTATTTCACCATTTTTTAGGAGTATTTTGCAGTTAATTTGTATTTTGAAGTGAGCCGGAGAAAACAAATTAAATTTATAAAGCACTTGGCTTTGTAATATGAGCCCGATGTTAACAGTATTAAAACAGGGATCTTAATACTCAGTATTGGTAAGTGAAGCGTTTGCTTATGCTACATTGAATATAAAAAGTTAACTGTCAATTTGCAGAAGATCTGTACACCTGAATAGCTACTTATCAAGCATATGATTTGCAGTGTATGCGCGAGCCAAAATGTATGAAGGAGTAAATCCTCACCCATGACATAAATCTTCCAATCAAGTTTAACTGCAGCTGCACCATTTCTTGCAGTCGGCATTGAAGGAAGTGTCGTCCATGTTGAATCTGATGGATTGAATTTCATTGTATTTATTAGATTTTTACCATTAAACCCTCCAATACAGTAGATGAAACCTGGATGGAATAAAATGAAGAATCAATTAAAGATGACTGGACTCGGTATTCAACTATTTTCATCACTTCCCTTAAGCAACTTCGATGCAGGTTGTTCCACCATATAATATATATAAAGCATTAAAAGCTGTTGTATTGAATCAGAGTTTATATTTCGCCAACTTCGATTCAACTCAATATTTTGGAAACAAGACTGCAGCTAGAGAACATGCACCCACTAAATTCTACCTGTCTTCTTTTGCATTTATTCAAAAATTTCCGCAAATTCGCAATTGTCTCTGGCAGATTTTTTTGTCACATAAGCCCACAACAAAGCGAATTTAAATCTTGCAATTTATACCAAATGCAATTTTCGTTATACCTTGGTATCAACGTGAGGGAAAAATGTGACATGTTTAACAGAATAACAATAATTTAGAACCATGTCCCGAGTACAGTCTACTCGGGTATCAGAATAATTTACCATTCCAAATACGTCCAAAAGTGATATTTGCGAATGTATCATATATTTTCTACAGCTTTAAACAATGAAAGTCTTTTATGTTCTTTTGGGATAACCAAATTGCTCTAAATTGACAAATGAAATTGCTCTATAATATTCCGGAAACAAAGAATTCAAAATATCAAATACATTTAATACTGAATCAATTCCAATCTAATATATTTTGAAAATTTTTAATCGAATTAAAACAGCTCCGTCATTATTTTCAAATGTCTCGGTATAGATTCCTGTTACATATGCTCTGTCGCCAAAACATTTAATTCTACATTAGAGTGTTTAAGCAGCAGTTTAGGCACTTGCTTCGTTGCATCAGTCCACTGCCATTACAGGTAATTACATATCAAACTACTAGCCTTCGTGTATGCAATAAATCATACAACTACACATCGTATATTTTGCAGTATAACTTCATTCTCATTCTTTATCAAACCTACTTCCAGCGGCAACTATTGATGTAAAATATCCTTCCACTGGTTTATCAGTGACATGAGACCAAGTTCCATCAGATGGATCAAATTTCTCAACTGTTTTACTGTTTTTGCCAGAATCATCAAATGCGTAGATTGAACCTGGTTGTTAAAAAATGAAGATAATTAATCTAATGCAGGGTTGAAGAAAAGAGAGTTGGCAGCACTCATAAATTCAAGATGGAAGAGCTAACTGTCCAGGAGCTGCCATGACCTTGTGAGCTGCTTCAACCTGGAGAAATCTTAAATTAGATAAGTAATTAACTAATGACCATAAACTCACCCAGACTACGTTAGGTGAAATTATAAAGCTTCTAGATTTGCAAGAGTTTCAAAGTTGGCTAAAAATTGAATTATGTGTCAGATTGGAATATTGTGGCCACATCTAACGAATGTTTTGTGAACAATTTAATACTTTCGACTTAATTTAAAATACATAAATCTACAGTTGACAAAATACTGCATTGAAAAAATCATCCTAATGCCTAGCAGCCAATCACTTGGTTCAAGTCATGCTAAGATAATCATGAATGAGAGATTACCAGGCACATTGTCCAAATTTGATTTCTGAAATTGGTTCTAAATTGAAATCAGTTATTGAACTAATTCAGCAATCCATATTTTTTCATTTCACTTGGCCGATACTGCTGAAAATCATATATCTAAAAACAGACCCCATATCGTATGAAATATAACATTTGTGCAAATCATCCTAAATTACTGAAACTTTTTAGTACAATCATAAGAACTTCAAGTGTTGATTAAATTTTCTTCGTCATATGTCATACTGACCTTCAAATGTAACCGCGGCCACACGACTTTTTGTCATTTTCCGATCTGCCAGTCTAATCCACGAAGCATAAGTATCAGTATAATCAAGTTGATAATTGGTTCCATCAAACACGAGAACATAGATAATGCTATCAAGTACAAGAGCGGTAAATTCCTTTCCAACGAATTCATCATCGATATCCTGATATGTAAAAATTATATGTGAATGTGTTTGAAATATTATACAAACTACCATATTTATTCGGATTTTAAATAAAATAAATAATTGCAATGTTTGATAACTGCATGCAAAAAAACTTATATTAATAAATTTGAACTAGACCTTGGATTTGTGCAAAAGTTGTAATTTGCATGGCCATGCTTTGCAGTTTATCTGATCAATGGCTAAATAGGGCTGCCAAGAAGTATCTGATGAATTCTATTTTTACATATTTTTTTGAATAGTAATTGCAAATTGTTTTTCTCAAACATTTATAAAACAAAACACGCTAACCTGTATCTTTGTCCAAGACTTCAACTCAGGATCAAATGCTTGAATCGCTTTAGAATTTTTATCAAACACGGCAATCGCTGAGTAAAAAAGTTCATAATTAATTTTAATATTATAATTAAGGTACTCCCGTAATATGTGTACCAGGTTGGGGTTCGGCCATAATTTTATTCCGATTTTTCTCATTTTATATCTATTACGAGTTCGGAGACTGTCTGTGTTAGCCAAGTGAATATACCCCCTACCCATAGGTTTCAGTCTATTTACACAACTAAATGTAAAGTAGGCGAACAAAGTTAGTTTTCCTCTATATTGATACACACAGTTCTGGAGCGCTATAATTAAAACTTAAGTAAACAGAATATGAAGTAAATAAGAAACTAAAATGAAATCAAACTGAGGAAAATGCTCGAGATGTTCTAATATGCTAACTTTTAAAATTTGCAAATTTAACAAATGAAAACAAAAATAAAAGTTGTACATGGATAAATTTAAAACCGAAAAACTTTGCAGTAATAACTTACCATTGTCGACTGGGAATTCTGAAAAAAAAAGTTTCTGATTTGAAAGATCTAAAATAGAAAAATGTTGAAATTCGATAAATGTGGAACAATTATTTGCTCAAAGTCTGTCAAAACAGTTTTGAATCATGCAAACCTTGGTAGGTATTCAACAGTTCCAAATTCACTAAATAAGACAAAGTGGAATCTGATAAAGTGAGACATGAAGGAGATTCTTTACCTTGAAGAGTGACATCCTTAGCTTTTATGTTGTTTCGATTGAAAGGTAGAAATGCAATGGCTCGAAGACATGAATTTGTTTCGAAAAACAAAACCTGTGGATATAAGAAAAAAATATCAAGAATCTGGTATTATAGTTGTGGCATATTCGAAAACCATCACGATTGAAAACTTTATTAGGTAATCTTTGATTTTGAATGCAATTCATAAGTAATAGTAATAAATCTCAGAAAACTTTTTTCGATCCCATTTATAAACTTATCTATGGTCATCAGTAAAGCTTGCCATTACTTCAGCCAACTTGTGAGAAACGGTAACTGTCCTTGTACAATTTACCTCATTTTCAATCAAATGTCTTTGACATTCTTCCCAAATCTAGTTTGTTGAACATCTCTCCGAAACATGATTTCCTATTCTCGATGTCATAACTTGTCCAAATAATCAACGCTTTGCATTTAATCTTTTCTCCTGCCTGTTACAATAGAAAACCAAATTTATTCAAACTTTAAGATCTTATTATTTTAGTCAATGTGTTGAAAAAGCTATAATGGCTCTAATACTTGACAAACCAACATGGAACAAAATGAACAATATAGAGGAAACGTAGAAACATACATACCAGCATGTATATAACTCCTCTGATGGACTCTGATGAATAAGTTAGCTTATTAGCTGATGCCGTGGTGTCAAACATTCGAAAAAATTAGTGTTTGATCATAGCACAAAATTAGGGGTAATGAGTTTGATTGGACAAATGCCTAAGTTCTCGAGCCTTTCAAGGACAAGTATCAATTGAGTATATCCACATTGCATTCAGATACACACCTTTGTTTTTTTTTATCCAACCAAGAAAGAAACAAAAGCTTTTTCAAAATGTTTGAAATCATCTCGAACAGCAATGACTTGGAAATTCCTCAGAGCAAATTTGTTGCAACTTTCAACTAATCCAGCGCAGTTGAAAGTGTTTGCAATCATCTTTGTTGAATAGAACGATTCTGGACTCAGTTCTTCCTCAAGAGATATGACAATTTTGCCGATCATGCCTGAGTATATTACATATAGTATTGAAACAATTTTGCATGTAAAATAGTAAACAATCATTTTTGGACTGAGTTTAATTTTTAACACCTTTCCCTGTTTGGAACATGAAGGTGGAATTTGAAAGTATCAAATTCGTACTTCCTTAAAATTCAATTCTATTCCGTCGCCGTAACTGCCATTGGATTGTCATGTTATAAAGAGTTAAACAAAGCCTGAAGTAAAGCTAGTAGTGGCTACAATATTAACAGGATGTTGCTATCATGCTGTGACTAGGATGATCTAGAACAGTGTTATAGGAAACTACTAATGGTTCAAAAAATGTTTTATGTTTATTTAATCATTCACCTTGTGACTGTAACATGTGAGCTGTGTGCATCAGTTGTTGACGCTCCTCACGGCCAGGAGTGAATACCAGTGTAAATGTAATTGACGCAAGATTTCACACTTGAGTATTGAACTTGTTCCATTGTCACAATGCCAGTTTACTCGTTACTCGTTATTACTCGTTAAGTGCCATCATCATTTTTCCACAGTGCTTCAAATCATATGCATCAAGGTAAGCATAATTGCTTATATAAATGCTGAAATGCAGCATAAATATATCAAAGTTCATTACTAACTTGTACTTCACGATTTTAGATTATGCAACGCTGCTAATGGAACCTAATGCGGTTCGGGGTATGTCATTAGCCTCACAATACATAGCAAGTACGTTCACAAAGTCTAGTTGATCATAAGAGAATTTAATTAGGTTGCGATACTATATTAACATGCTAACTGCTACATGCCTACGCGTTGTTATAATAGATTTCAATATTTGATGGAGACCGTAAAGAATTCCTGTGACGTCAAACAATTATGAGGACATCACGTGAAGAATCATTTGGTCCAGAATAAACCTAGTTTAAATCAGAGATAATTAAATTATCTTCATGCCTAATACAACAAAAAAAATATTGCCTGAGAACAAAGTCCATAAATATATTTACACAATATCGCTGAGGGTCTTATTACTTGGTACCGTGCGTTGTATGATGAGTTAATAATTAACAACAGTCAACAGACTTACATGGAGAATATGCCTTGTCAGTGGGACAGAGGTACACATGAAATATTAGATCATACATTCTTCTATATCACTTTCTTTAAGTGAGTCGCACATTTCCTCTGAACAAGGATTTGCATAAGCAACCACTGAGACATGAGCCGATAGAATAACTCGGAATAATAAGCTTTCAATAACCCAAATCTTATCAAGTGTTTTACTAGACGGACACACGACAAGTCCGATAGTCTTTTACAAATTCCAGGAGGTTCGATTCTAGTTTAACTCAGGTGTCACTTGAGCCATCCTGACCATGATCATTCAGCTCTGTATATTCTACAGCAGCGGTTATCAAACTTTTTAACGGTTTTTAAAAGTTGTCAAATCTCGCACCCCACCTCAAAATCAAATAAAAAAATACAAATGACCAAATTCATAAATACAAATGGTAATTGACTGAAAACTTGGCTATACACTTTGCTAAATACAATTAGTTAAATCATTGAAAATATTTAGCTGAATACAACTGACTGGATACAATTAGTTGAATGATTGAATATATTTGACTGAATACAACTAATTTTATACAAAAGACAGAATAAATATGATAATTGACTATATATATCCTATTTTGATTACATAACCAAAATTCAAAATGAGGTATCCAACAAGATAACATTAGACAAAATCCAGAAATATACAAAGAATTTTGATTTTCGTGATGTCAAACCTCACATGACAATTGAGACTGTTGACAAGGTCGAAAGTGCCTTTGAACAATACCAGGTCAAATTTGAATCAATTTGTTTGGAAATCCCTTTTAACCTGTATGTACGTTGCCAAACAACTTAATCTCGAGCGTCAGAAATAATGAAATTTAGAAATTTTCAATCTTCAGTAGTGCAAATATGAAATGAAAGGACGGTTCAAACAAGTTCGTTTTCAACACGTATCCTAGATATTCCTGCGTGATAACAACTTTTATAAATTTATGGAACTGTAAAGAAACTAGCAAATCAGAGAATCTCTCTAGTGGAAGGAAATTGAGTAGGCCTACAAGATATGAAGTAAAATGTGGAAGCGTCCAGAGTTTCTGTTGATCGAAGCCCGGATAATTCCATTCGGAGATGCAGTAATCAAATTTGAATCGATTTCTTCAAAAATCCTTTTAGTCCAGTATGTACACTGTTTTTTTAAAAAAAAACATGTAAACTTGGCCATTATTTAGTATTGGATACTGAAACTTACTTATTCATTTTCAGAATCAGTTTCATTGAATATTACTTTTTTTTTTTATATATGTAGGAAACCAAAATCTTGAGTACGCAGTCGTTTAGGGCCTCTAAAATGCATGATGCGGCCTAGCGTCAGGGATAGAATATTTGAAGAGACCGATAGCTTATATGCACGCGAAAAATTGGCTAGACATACATAACCCGTTATGGGATAACAGTATCAGTTGACAGTAAGCAGTCACAAAAAGTTCGAGGTGAGCGAAAGGTTCGGTAAATGAACTCATGTCATACTTCACAATCACAATAAATCTTAAAATGTACATAATAGCTTTATTGCTATTATCAAACAATTGTTTTGTATAACTCACACTTCAAGTTTTTCCGATGAAATAATACAAAATTAGTCTTGTTGGCATTAGGACATAACTTGTTTATCAGCATCAAGCTGTAAACGTTGTCCAGTAGTTGATTTGCCACCGCGAATATATCTTTTGTGTTTTTCCCGTAAAGAATCGAATCTGTGTCATCAGCACATATGATCGACTCGGAGCATTTCAGACACCGAGGCATGTCATTTATGTAAGCAGGAAAGAATAATGGGCCAAGTTAATATCCTTGAGGAACTCCGTCCTCCGTGACACAAATATTAGTGGAGAATGAATTGCCATATTGCGCAACTTGTTTTACAGACTTGGCGATCACACTTATGCGTGAAACTGCACCGCTAAACTTGCCACCATTGGGAAAAGGGGGCTCCCGAAGTATGCGAACCAAGATGGCGGACATAGGAATGTAATATGTGTACTAGGTTAGGGTTAGGCCATAATTTTAGGTATAAATACTACGGGAGGCTCTTGGCTAGTCATCGAACTGATAATAGGACTAAAATAAGGAAAATTGGAAAAAAATTATCGCCTAACCCTAACCTGTTACGTTCCGATGTCCGCCATCTTGGTTCACATACTTCGGGAGCACCGGGAAAAGTGTATATTTATGGTAGACTCTTTATATATTCATTCCGATTTCTTTTTCATATTTACCATACAAATTACGTGATGATCGACTTTGAAGACCGCACTTTTATTTATGATGCTTGGATGAGGCGACTAAATTGACTGCAAAATATTCTAAATTGACTTATATGCTACGTCACAGAAAATATAAGCAAAGCTTATCTTGTATCTTTTGGTGTTAAAATGCTAATCGAAGAGCCATTCATGAAGTATCTTAGTATAATTATTGACAATAAACCTTAGAAGTAAATATATATGCCAAACACCTTGTATACTTTTGCTTGTGTCATAATCTCTTTTGCAGCATAACTGGATACTCTACAAACATTTTGGTAAGGTAAGAGAATCATTCCTTTATGAAAAGCAATGACAGGGCCTAGTTGTTTACCCAAATTTACAGACAAACAGGCGACAAATTAATCCCCAGTTTTGTGTTTGCGCAGGATTGATTGAGTAAAACTTTTAACATTGCATTCAAGACTTTTCGAATGCAAATAC